CCCTCCTCCCCTCCCTTCTCCCAGCTCCCCATATCATCCACCTTTCAAAACCACAAGGGAACCGATTTTGCCCTTTTCCAGCAACCCAAAATTTTGATAAAAGGTACAACAAGCATGAAACAATGAAAACTGAAAATGCTTCTTTCAATACATGCACTGCTAATATGCGTGAAAATATCCCAGACCATCTATGCATGTGGTTTCAATACTTATGAAGTTTCAATAAACACTATAATTTTGCTTTTGCTTTAAGTTAGTTTGGTTAGTGGCAAAAAGCAACATGTTTGTTTGGGAGAAAGAAAAAAACAAACCAATATTCAAGTAAAGTATGTGGGGAGCAATAAATTGCATTTGCTTGGAGACCTGCGATCTGCATATAAAAAACATCGGTCAAACGATCATCAATATTTTCTAAGTCTGCTAGTTGCTGTACAAATATGAAAAATTCTAAGATGCATCTAGAATGCACCCACTTTAGTCTGAACTCAGTCAACTGTGGATCTGACTACCTGACCACCTGTACAGGTATGTGCAAATCTGAGAAACAGCACAGACAGTAACTCCTTTCTGGGGAACCACATCTACTTCAAAGCTCTTTCTCAGGGCTTCCGATATTGGTTTTGAGTAGCATTTTTTTCCCCATTAGCAGACCCTAGTAATAAAAGAGGTGTATGCTCCAGGAAAACGAAGTCCTACCACATGTGATACCACCACTGGCTTGTATCCTTATTTGAGTAAGAAGTACACATTTGCTCAAACAAAAAGGCCCCAGGAAATTACGCAGTACCTCAGGCTGAATACTAATAAGCAGAAATAGTTTGAAGTCTTAATTCAAAATCCTCTGAAGTACATGCAAGAGAAAAAGAGATCTTTCCAACAATGTCAGCAGATTGCATTTTGAAGCAGCAAGACTTTCAAGAAACCTTGAAACACTTGAAGTTAATCTCATGGAATGGGACAGCACTACTTTGCAGAAAGGGGTCCTGTAGTGAGAGAACAGGAGCTGGAAAAATCTACCTTTAGCAGAGTTTGCACTGGCTGAGCCAGTGAGTCCAACACTCACAAACCACTGTGAGAGAATATTCTCCTGCATCAGCCAGAACACTGCTGGAGAACAAGATACTTCTTTTAAAAGCAATAATTACAATGAAACACCTCAGTCTGCCTTGGTTTGCATAGTCCTGTTTTTCAAGAAATGCACCTGAGAAAATAAAGAGCTAACACAGAGTAATTCCTACTGTGTGGTGGTGATTTGTATGGCTCCAAAATCTCAGCTACTTTAATCGCTAGCACCAATGTGATGGTGGCTGTGCAAATGCTCCAGATATTAGAACTTCACTTTTGATCCAGAGGCTACACAGCAAAGGAATGCTGGTCAGAAGGAAAGCAGTTATTCAGTCCATTTATCCTGGCCTTGCTATACAAACAGAGTAAACAGCAGACATTCCCAATACTTAAAACAAGGAATCATGAAACAGACTTGTCTAAGATGACTCCATTCATTTACTGCTTCCATTTTCACATCTGTAGAACAGATACTGTATTTGTTTCAAATACCAGCGACTGTAGCGTCAGAGGAACTGAAACTGAGAATCTTGCACTGGAAAATGAAAAGCTAGAAAGCTCCATTTTGCACGAAGCTCTTCATTCTTTGAGGCGTCAATGCACGGACTCTCCCCGCCTCTCCCTGTCCTCCTCCACTCCTCCCCAACTTTGTCCTTCCTGGCCAAGAGGTTCACGCGACAGGGGCTCTGGGTACCTAGGGCCCTGAGGTGCTGCCTGCCGCGTTCGGGGAGGGGAGCAACAGGACTGAACTGAAGGAAGGAGTGTTAAGCAGAAGATCACAGTAGAAGTCAGGGGTAATCCACATTTTCTTGCATTCAGGAAAGGAAATATTGTAAGTTACTGGCACAGAAATGAGAAGCTCTCTCCAGAAATGTGGTTCTGCTCCCAAATAACCTTTATTTTAAAAGTATGATTGAGAGGGTGTCTGCGTTCCATACTTCCCAATCACATCACTGTATTTCAAGGCACATGATACATGAATAGTTCAAGAGGAATGCAGAGTAACAGACTCTTGTTTGACAGCAATCAGCAGATACATTTGATTCCAGCAATCTTTAGTACCTGTAAGGCTGAAAACACATCTCAAGATAAAGCAGTCATCACGTAAGAGGTTCACTTGCTTTCTACTGCAGATGTATTTCCCTTTCAGTGGTGCTGCCTATAATCTAAAGGGGCACTGAGTGATTACAGCTACAAAAAGGATAACCGCCCTTTCAATTCAAGGCGAGGTGTAATTCCAGGAACTACGTGCTTCTAACATCTGAGAGAGGGTAGAAGAAAAAGAGGCAGACAACTATGTAGTCTGATAGGACTTAACTGGTCCCTGCAAATGCAACTTTCACGCCTCAGTCATGCATTTGTCCAGGGAAGATTCTGTCACTAATCACCAACACCACATTTGGTCTTTAAAATCCTCAAAGTGTTGGTTTTCTCACTCATTTTGATTTTTTTTTTTCCTAAATGATTTCCTCCCTTTCTCTCTAGAAAAATCTTACAAAATGCAAAAAGTTACTCAGACCTAAATTTAGACTCCGGATCTGGTAGACACTTAAGCATCCCTTGTTAAACATGTAAGTACTTACTAATGCATACTGAGGTAGCATTGTTCCCCAAATGAGATAATCTCCTCAGAACTTAAAAGCCACTTCAAGATTTCTATGTGTATATAAACAAATATAATAAATCTCCTTGCTGCAGATGAACAAATCTGACAGAACGGTTGCATCTCTAAAGAAATTCTTCCATATTAATATTACAGGGAACAAACGGATACTAATGAGGTGTAAAGTACCTCAAAACTTTCATGTCAAGTAAAGAGAAGTGCTGTTTTAAATATGAACGCTTTCCTGACTTCAGTGGACAGCGTTCTGAGACACACGCTCCTCGTTCATTGTCTTGCCTTATTGCCATTTCTTTCAAACCCAATGCTAGCTTTTATCCCACGCTTACATCAGAAAGCAAAGGAAGAGTAAAAGAACGGAAGAGTTTATAGTCTTGGAACAAAAATTTCCAAGATAAGGAATCATCACAACTTGTTGGTTACCTGGATACGACTAGTTTAGAGACTGCCACAGATAGTCAAACCAGGAAAGAAGACAGAATTCTAACTGTAATTTCATGTGGGAAATTACATTTGTTTTTCCTTGTTCAATAAATTCTAAAAGTATAAAAGAGTATAAAAGAAGGCTATGCAAATATCAGTTGAAGACTTTCTAAATGATACACTAATATTATTATCCAGTGACATCTATCTGTAGTAAATGATTTAAAGTTATTAAACAGTCAAATGCGAGGAGGAAGCTCTCACATTCACCTGAGGGGATAAAGCTGGAGGCCTGCCTTGTAACTTTAAAAAGGGTCCAGAAGCCACCTCCTCCTGAACATGAACCCTGGCAGAACACCACTGTGTTAACTTCTGACCTTTGGAAAAAGGAATTATGCTCCCCACAAGAATCACAAATTTAAGAAAGCATTCAAGAGTTCTGTGGCGGCTGTCGTTTTCATCGCGCTTGTGGCTGGGGTCGGTTTTGCGCACAGCTCTGCACTGCTGGCCCCGAGCAGAAGACGCCTGCCCTGTGCTGGCCGCAGTGTGACTTACTTTCCGAATCGGGAATTGAGCTTGTTAGTGAGGAGCTGGTAGATGTGGTGATGCTCATGGAGGGGCTCATACCGTAACGGGGGTACGCTCCCGTCATGGCTGTGGTATGAGAGATCCACGCCGCAGGGTCGATTGGCCTCACTGGTTCAGCTGCAAAACAATCAGAAAGGGAGAAAAAGACAAATGGAATCAGATTCGCGGTAAACACTTAGAGTAAGAAGGAATTTTTTTGGGGCGCACAAGTCCTTGCCATTCTGATAGTACAACTGAGATAGCCCCAACACAAGGGAACAAAAAGTACCCTGCCAGCAGTAGCTGATTTCCCCTAGCAATTGCCGCACCAGCTTAATAAGACAAAACCATGACGCTCCTGTTCCTGTAACGATGGTAGGAGTGAAATATTTCCACTTGTGCAAAAGAAGCTACCAGTCCAGTAATAATATTTCACCATTCTTCTCTACAGTGAGACAGAGGTTTTCATTTTGCTGTGATGTGAAGTACTACCAAATGCT